ATTATAATATTATTGTCACTGACTGGCTGATTCCTAATCGCTCTACAATATATTACAAGCCAAATTCAACTGTCCTTCGAGTAAAACCTAAATCCTCACATATTAGAAGGAATAGTTGCTGGACTAGGCAATATAAAACTTCAGCACTTTACTATGCAAAGGTTTACAATCTATTTGGTTTTGACAGAGTACAATATACAATGAAAATTGTATAGTTATTGGACAATCTGATCAATACCTCTAATAACTGTATGTATATTCCCATCAAAAAAAAAATAAAAAAAAAAAAAAAAAGAAGAAGGACTCATTGTTCTGTTTAATCATTCCTCATAATAAGCTGCAAATGTGATGAGGAACTAACCAAGCAGAACAGTTAAATTCTGAATAAGAGTTCCAAAATCCTGACTGATCTAAAATATATGTATGAGGTCACTTATGGATATTAAAAGGATCATTCCACCCTGTGGAAGCTATACAACCGCATATACGTCACCTGGAGCTCTATGAGATCCTGCAGCATGTGTCTGTTCCAGAAGAATCGCTCATCCACCTAATAATGACAAAAAAATGCACACATAACCAGGATTGCCCCTCATACCGATACTACACGGTCAGTAGTGTTCCTCACACTGCCAACAGACAACCAGGAGCTCCCCCGCCCCCCTACTGCCGTCACACAACTATACCATGCTGAAACACAAGGAGCACCCCTGAATGTGGACACACAACAGGGGCGCCCCTTGCACCACTGACACACAACAGGCAGTGACCCTCACACTGCCGACACAACTAAAGGCGCACCTCTTGCCACCAACACACAAGCAGGAGCTCCATTTACATTAGAAAATGTATATTATATAGGGCGCGCTTGTTGGAGCCCAACCTCTGCAGCTGTAGGATAAAGGTGCCAGATGGATATCAGGGATGGATGGATGGATGGCAGCAGTAAACACTGAGGCAGCTCTTCTTAGAGTGGAAGCAAGGCTCTAATGTACAGTTGTGACCAAAATTATTCAACCCCCACTGAAATTGAGTGTTTTGGCCAGTTTGACATTGCTTTTGATCATTCAGTCATCTTGCTTACATTTACATTAAAGAGGCACTTGTAGGTCAGACAAATATAACATAACAGTTATAATGAAATAACCACAAATGTCTTTTCTGTGCTCACAGCATTATCAGTTTTATTCAACCCCCAAGTGACATTCAATCTTAGTACTTAGTACAGCATCCTTTTACAGTTATAAACAGCTTTTAAACGTGAAGCATAGCTTGACACAAGTGTCTTGCAGCGATCTACGGGTATCTTCGCCCATTCTTCATGGGCAAAGGCCTCCAGTTCAGTCACATTCTTAGGCTTGCGCACTGCAAACTGCTTTCTTTAAGTCCCACCAGAGGTTCTCAATCGGATTTAAGTCTGGTGACTGCGATGGCCACTCCAAAATGTTCCAGCCTTTCCTCTGCAACCATGCTCTAGTGGACTTGGAGGTATGCTTGGGATCATTGTCCTGTTGAAAGGTCCAACGTCTCCCAAGCCTCAGGTGTGTGACGGACTGCATCACGTTTCCATCCAATATCTCCTGGTACTGAAGAGAATTCATGGTACCTTGCACACGCTGAAGCTTCCCTGTACCTGCAGAAGCAAAACAGCCCCAAAAGCATGATTGACCCTCCACCATGCTTCACAGTAGGCAAGGTGTTCTTTTCATCATAGGCCTTGTTCTTCCTCCTCCAAACATAGCGTTGATCCATGGGCCCAAACAGTTCTAATTTTGTTTCATCAGTCCACAGAACACTATCCCACAACTTTTGTGGTTTGTCCACATGGCTTTTGGCATACTGCAGTCGACTCTTCTTATTCTTTGGAGACAGCAAGGGGGTACGCCTGGGAGTTCTGGCACGGAGGCCTTCATTACGCAGTGTGCGTCTTATTGTCTGGGCTGAAACTTCTGTACCCACATCTGACAAATCTTTTCTCAGTTCCTCAGCAGTCACACGGGGACTTCTCTCCACTCTACGCTTCAGGTAGCGCACAGCAGTCGAAGTCAGCATCTTCTTTCTGCCACGACCAGGTAGCGTTTTCAACAGTGCCCTTTGCCTTGAATTTGCGAATGATGCTTCCTAAGGTGTCTCTTGGTATGTTTAACATCTTTGCAATCTTCTTATAGCCATTGCCCTTCCTGTGAAGAGAAATCACCTCTTCTCTTGTCTTCCTGGACATTCTCTTGCCTTCACATGTTTGTAACCACACCAGTAAATGTCTAGAAGGAGCTGAGTATCACAGTCATTTTAAAGCTGCCTAATTGGTGCTTATTATGCTTGATTGCTGCTCGGTGACATCCACAGGTGTTTTCAATACCTGATGGAAAGCACCTGTATGAACCTCTGTTCTTCAGAGTGGTAGTCTTTAAGGGGTTGAATAATTGTGGCAATGAAGAAACCACATAAGAACCATTTACTACTGTATTACATAAACAATTGATGTCATTTTAGTTGCATTTGGGTAGTTACAACGTCCTTGTAGGATTTGATTCTGAATACAATTCCAAATGTACACTATAGTCCCTAAACCCCTTTACAGCATTGGGGGTTGAATAATTTTGGTCACAACTGTAGTAACAAGAAAAAGAGAGGAAGGTGCCTCTAAGTGCAGTATTGACAATTTATTTAGTAAACAATGGATAAATTGCACTTACAAGATAAATAGTTAAAAAGACTCATCGTGTGATGTAATAAAATCCAGGTGGGACATCCAGCCATCCAGCAGCAAACTCTTGTCTATAGAATCAGGAAGTAGAGTCCAGGGTGTGCCTGTGCACCAAATGAAGCTTGGAGAGCAGAGTCGGATGTAGGAGGTGAAGGGGGCGGTAATGCATTTCAGAGCATGCTCAATAGGCTCCTTCTGCAGACCGAGGTTCATTTTGATGCACAGGCACATCCTGAACTCTACTTCCTGATCCTATAGACCAGTGGTACTCAACCTTCCTAATGCCATGACCCTTTAATACAGTTCCTCATGTTGTGGTGACCCCCAAACATAAAATTATTTACCCAGTAATTATAATTCATGAGTGTCGTTTTACCTCCAATACTGCTGCTTTCAACACAGTAGCTGCTTTTAACAGAGTAGCTGCTTTCAACACAGCAGCTGCTTTCTACACAGTAGCTGCTCTTTACACATTGGAAATATGTGTTTTCTGATGGTCTTAGGGGACCCCTGTGAAAGGGTCGTTCGACCCCCAAAGGGGTCGCGACCCACAGGTTGAGAACTACTGCTATAGACAGAGTTTGCTGCTGGACGGCTGGATGTCCCACCTGGATTTTATTACATCACACGATGAGTCTTTTTAACTATTTATCTTGTAAGTGCAATTTATCCATGTTTTACTAAATAAATTGTCAATACTGCACTTAGAGGTGCCTTCCTCTCTTTTTACTAGCTCGATTTACATTGCCAGCACACCACCAAAAGCGCCCCCTATGCCACCAAAACACAAATATGAGCACCCCTTTATAGCGCCAACACAAATACAGCATCCTCACAATGCAAACACACAAAAAGGGCCATCCCTCATATATGATAATGGTGCCCTTCACAACACATAACCAGGGAGCCCCTCACACCATCAGCACACAATGTGTACAACTTACGCAACACAAACAAGGTAAAACCTCACTCCAACAACACACAAAGAGGAGAGGCCTTCACCCTGATAAACACCTAACTAGTAGCAACCCTTACTCCATCAACACAATGTGGAGCCTTTTTGCCCAATGCACAGTTGGGGCACCCTTGACACTGCTGACACACCAGAATGAATCTAGGGAGCCCCTCACGCAGCACACACATAGAAAGCAGGGGCCAACAGGTAGTAGGAAGACACACTCCCCTTCATTCCTCACTCAACCTCCATTAAAGATGCAGCACACAATAATAAAAAAATAAAAAAAATGCAGAGCAAGTAGACATATCCCTGTGGGTACCAACCTTCTTCCACAGAGGCAGCTCATTCTTCTCACTTGTGCTTTGCCTCTGCACAGAGTTGGTCAGGTCATAGGTCCAGCTAGTAGAAGGAGTCCGAGTCCATGAACATTTTGAACAATTCATCCAGCAGCCTCCGCTCAAGCTTCTCCTTCTCCTTACTTTCCTTAACCTGTAATCCAATGAGTTAATTAAAGCTATACCAGTTGTAGATCTCAAAACAACAAGATCATGGAGATTAAATTTATTAAGGACAGACTCTTCTAGAAAAACGACCAGGCTCTCTAGATAGAAAAAAAATCCATTCAAAATAACTTAAAAAATTATTTTATGTGCCAGAACAAGTCTCTCCTCTAAGTCAGCAGCTTGGATGGTAAGCCAGAGCCAGTAAGGAGCTTTGACCTGGGATGCGTGCCAGGGCCAGTAAGGAGCTCTGACCTGGGATGCGTGCCAGGGCCAGTGAGGAGCTTTGACTTGGGATGCGTGCCAGGGCCAGTGAGGAGCTCTGACCTGGGATGGCGTGCTAGGGCCAAATGAGGAGCTCGGACTTGGGATTGCGTGCAAGAGCCACCAAGTAGATCTGAGCTGCTACTTGTGGCTCCAATCAGCAATGAAGCATCTACTGAGCAAATGAGCACAATGTATAATGTTTTATTAAATTATCCTCCTGCCATTTCAGATAGTGCTGCTACTATTATGAAGAGTACTAACATACAAAATAAGATACATGTACTTACATTGCCCATTCATGCACCTTCTCATGTGATCTACAACCCTCCTGTTCTTCCCTTACTCACATGACAACCCATTACTCCCCCCCCCCCCCCATTTATACCTTGACACACTGCAGACTCTCATTCACAGACAGTGAAATCTCCTTTGCTTAGTTCTCATACCTCCCTCCATGCAGCAACACACATCATGGACCACCCTTCATACACCTCCGACAAGCCCAGTCCTACCTCAGTACAGCATCCCATGTCATGGACCGCCATCTCATATGCCCAACCCCTGCTACTTACACAAGCACCCAACAGAGACCTGCACTGGAGGAACCTCCCACACAGACCACTCTCCCTGCAGAGCACACACTGGCCAAACTCCTCATTATTTGTCTTCTACCTACAATAAGGCCACCACATTTCAGTTGCATGCTGGGAGAAATAAAGGGTTTGACCTTCTTCTTATTGGGAGCAGAGACATTGGATTTGATCTGTGTGAGGGTCTTCAGAAGGAATTTGGAGTCATCTGGAGAATGGCTGATCTTCTCTGGTTTGTTGATGCCGAAATGGTGTTTCTTGCACAGCTGAGAAATGGAAGAGCATGTTGGTGATCAGAAAGTAAAACAAATAGCTCATCACCTGACATTTACTCTGTATACAACAACCAGCTCTACCCAGCATCAATATTGTCTCTATAAAATTACTCTCATCCTTACCCAGAATATTCTCTGTATCCTACTAAATCTACATTTTACTGTTCTCTCAAACAGGAGACACCATTATCTGTACAAAGCCTTCTGTCACTCTTCAGTCCATCATAAATGGTACAAACACGACCTAAATCAGTACAACAGCTATCTAGGGCACTTACATCAAGCTCCAAATCTTGTGGCTCTGCCGTGGACAGCGGAATGACAGCAATCTTGGTGATTTTGTAGATTTCATGGCCCTTGGGAAGGACACCAATGAGTGATTTCTGGCGGATGAGAAGCAACCACCAAGGTAGATCTGCAGGACAAAGACAACATCATTTAATTCTCTTCCCGACAGCTCAGAGTCAGTCAGCAGTGTCTAGACCCCAAGCTGTGGCCTTTCTGGGACCGAACAAGGACCCCCCCACCCATGTTATTTCACCCACAGGACAGAAGCAGGCATGCATCACCATTTCACTCTTCTGCTGTGAATGGAGCCATCAGTCTTCTATCATACACCATCAAATTTGTTGCAAACAAAAGGTGTTTTTTTTTTAAACTCCTATATATGTACTGCTGTGACACAGTGTATTTCACAATTCTCAGATATTATCAGTGTGTCAACAGATGCTGGGTATGCCAAACTTCACACAACTCACCTGGCTTCATCCCCCCCCAGCTGGCTTTCCAAAACTACCAATTATGACAATAAATGACTAACTAATGTGTGTTATTCATGAATGCGGTACATTTATGGGAAGGGTGCAAGTCCTTGATTGTTGTCATTTTATGCAAGTGGAAGGTTTCATATAATGTTGGGTTAAATGTTCGAGTCAAACATCAGCCATTTGAATTCTCGGCGAAAAACACGAACAGTAGGGGGACGCCCCACCACGCACTGCACCCTGACCGTGCATTGTGATTGGCCAAAGCAATGCACCTGACCACAGGTCAGGTGCAATGCTTTGGCTAATCACAGCGCACAATTACGTCACAAGGGAAGATTATTACTTGTCTTTTGTATTCACTTTCAGGTAGTGCAGAAGTTTCACCAGTATTCACATTTAGTATTATAGCAAAGGTAGAGAGCAAAGGGAACAGGGGTCAAGAGATCTTTGACACACATGATATGGATATTAATATAAAGGCTACTGTACATACATGCATTTGGGACTGTGCACTGAGGACTGGTAGCTGAGGGGTGAACACGAGTGTTGGGAACTGGGTATCAACAGGTCAACACAATAGCTGGGTACCCTTTGCTGAGGGTTTAAACACACTATAGCAGGATATTAGGCACTGAGGGGTTAACACACCTTGAGGAATGGGCAATGAAGGATAATTACACATATGCTGAGACTGATAGGTTAAAGCACATGAGCTGGGGACTGGATGTCAAGGGGTAATGCACATGAACAGAGGAGCGTGCACTTGGGGTATACACACATAAGCTGCAGGCAGGGTACCTAGGAGATACCACACATGCACTGGTAACCAGGCACTGCGGGGTTACCGTATGTGTGCCGGGGACTACCAAAACAAATATGTTCAGAAATTACGTTACTTGTAATAAAATGGAATGACGCAGGGAAAAAGTATTGAACACGTCAATGTAAATTTATTTAATACTTCGTACAAAATTATTTTGGTAATGACAGCTTCAAGACACCTCCTGTATGGAGAAACTAGTTGCATGCATTGCTCAGGTGTGATTTTGGCCCATTTTTCCACACAGTCTTCAAATCTTGAAGGTTCCGTGGGCCTCTTCTATGAACTCTGATCTTTAGTTCTTTCCATAGATTTTCTATTGGATTCAAGTCAGGTGATTGGCTGGGCCATTCTAGCAGCTTTATTTTCTCTCATTGAAACCAATTGAGAGTTTCCTTGGCTTTGTTTTTGGGATCATTGTCTTGCTGAAAGGTCCACCCTCGTTTCATCTTCATCATCCCGGTAGATAGTAGCAGATTTTTAATCAAAATGTATATTTTTCCATTCATCCTTCCTCCAATGATATGAAGTTTGCCAGTGCCGTATGCTGAAAAAAACAGCCCCACACCATGATGTTCTCACCTCCAAACGTAACCGTTGGTATGGTGTTTTTGGGGTGATGTGCAGTGCCATTTGACCTCCAAACATGCTGTGTGTATAATGGCATCCAAAGATGCACCTCCCTTTTATTCGAAGGTGGAAGTTGTCTGAAGTTGCCCAGCTACACAGGAGATATGCAATGTGGAGTGAACACTTGGGGCAAGAGCAGGCAGGGAGGTGGGAATATACTCACTGAGGGTGTAAAGCCGAATGGGTACAAGAAGACTCCACTGTGCTTCTCTTACAGAAGAACATAAAAGGGAGGATAGCTCTGTTTACTGGAAGGGTCATCTCACTGCAGGTATGGAGGTTGGGTCCATACTGGGGTGGGATATACCAGAAACATCAATGGGTTGCAGGGGTTGGAAGCTTACTGAACCAGAGGAAAACACCCAATGAATGTGAATGTGGCACTCTGACTTAGATTCTCACAGCTGCTTGAAATGTTTTCCTCCAAGAAAGGAATGAATCTCCTCCACCCCACAGCTAGTGTTTGGGAGAGGCTGAATTGGAAAGACATGAGATATTTATATACAGTAACTCATTATACACTATACAGCTAAACTAGAGCTACAAAATCAGCAAGTATATCAATGACGCCTGCCATTCACAGAGTTATCTGGCCGACTCTTTCCTGCAGCTGTTTTAATATCCTACCTCAGGAAACACTTCAGATAAGACGGCAGCCAAACTCACTCTGCCGAAATAAAAGGCTGCTATTCTGTACTGCACATCCTTCAATCTCCCCTCCATTCTGTACCAGTGGATGGCATCGCTACCTACCCTCTATTCTGTACCAGAAGAAGAACCTCTCTAGTCTGTCCTGGCATCTAAGTACCCTCCTATTCTGTCCCAACAGAGGAAACCTCTCTTTTCTATCCTGTCCCAACAGAGGCCAACTCTATCTTCTCTCCATTCTGTAATAGCAGAGGGATCTTTATTGGCTCTCCATTCTGGACTGGGAGAAGACACATCACTCCTCAATATTCATTTGGGACTAGCAGAGGACACAGCTCTCTCAATATTCATTCTTCACTGGCACAGGACACGTCTCTCTCTCCTCAATATCCTGGACCGGCAGTGGACACGTCTCTCTCTCCTCAATATCCTGGACCGGCAGTGGACACGTCTCTCTCTCCTCAATATCCTGGACCGGCAGTGGACACGTCTCTCTCTCCTCAATATCCTGGACCGGCAGTGGACACGTCTCTCTCTCCTCAATATCCTGGACCGGCAGTGGACACGTCTCTCTCTCCTCAATATCCTGGACCGGCAGTGGACACGTCTCTCTCTCCTCAATATCCTGGACCGGCAGTGGACACGTCTCTCTCTCCTCAATATCCTGGACCGGCAGTGGACACGTCTCTCTCTCCTCAATATCCTGGACCGGCAGTGGACACGTCTCTCTCTCCTCAATATCCTGGACCGGCAGTGGACACGTCTCTCTCTCCTCAATATCCTGGACCGGCAGTGGACACGTCTCTCTCTCCTCAATATCCTGGACCGGCAGTGGACACGTCTCTCTCTCCTCAATATCCTGGACCGGCAGTGGACACGTCTCTCTCTCTCCTCAATATCCTGGACCGGCAATGGACACGTCTCTCTCTCTCCTCAATATCCTGGACCAGCAGTGGACACGTCTCTCTCTCCAGCAGTGGACACGTCAATATCCTGGACCAGCAGTGGACACGTCACTTCTCTCCTCAATATCCTGGACCAGCAGTGGACACGTCACTTTCTCCTCAATATCCTGGACCAGCAGTGGACACGTCACTTTCTCCTCAATATCCTGGAGCCAGTGGACAAGTAAATATTCGGGACCGTCAGTGAACACATCTCTCTCTCCTCAATATCCTGGACCGGCAGTGGACACGTCTCTCTCTCCTCAATATCCTGAACCTGCAGAGTACACGTCTCTCTCTCTCCTCAATATCCTGGACCGGCAGATTACACGTCTCTCTCTCCTCAATACTCTGGACTAGCACAGGACACATCTTTCTTCTCAATATTCGGGACCGGCAGAGGACATGTCTCTATCGCTAATATTGTGGATTGGACATCTCTCTCTATACTAGCAAAGGTCATCTCTCCTCATCATTCTGTACTGGCAGAGGGCACTTGTCTCCTGCCCATTGTGTCCCAACAAAAGGAACCTCTCAATCTCTTCTATTAGTGGATGTCATCTCTATTCCCCTCTATTATGTGCAAGCAGAGAGCACCTATTATCTCTGCATTCTGTCCCAGCAGAGAACATCTCTATCATGCATTTATTCTGTCCTGTAGAGGATACCTCATTTTCTCTTCTACTTCCACGCCATCTACCCATCTGCTCTTTACCAGTAGAGGGCACCTCTCTAATTCCTCTCCATTTTGTCCTGATATAATTCATCTCAATCCACCTTTCTATTCTGTACCAGCAGACAGCAACTATGTCCTCTCAATTCTGTACCAGGAAGGGCATCTTTTCATCTTCTTGCCCCTTTGCATCAACCGACGGCATCTCTCTACCTTCTCTACTATTCTGTGCCCGCAGAGGACATTTCTCTCTCTCCCCTCTTCATTCTGTCCCAGCAGAGGATCTCTCTTCTTTGCTTTCTCTCCCCTACATTCTGTCCAGGCAGAGGGCATCTCTCTATCCCCTCTCCATTACGGAAGAGAAGAGGGCATCTCTATCTGCTCTCCATTCCGCATTATTAGAAGGCACCTGTCTCCCCTCTCTCCATTCTGTGCTAGCTGAGGATACCGCTCTTTGCTCACCTTCATGCACCAGCAGAAAGCATCTCCATGTCCCCTCCATTATGTAATAACAGAGGGCATCTCTATCTCCTCTCCATTTCTTACCAGCAGAAGCCACTGGCCCAGGATGACCTGGGCTCAGAGCAAATGGTACTAGCATCAGGCTAAAAATATCTAGTGGCAGAAAAAACATACTGCAGGCAAAATCTCTGGATTGAATGTGAATATTACAACAACAGCTGATGTTATTTTAGCTTTTAATGGACTATTTATTTTTATCTTTATTTTGGCTCGAGTTCTACCTTAATCCAGAACATTTTTAGACCAGAGTGGTTTTCTAGGACATCTGCTACAACACGAAACACATGGATTTATTTGGATGTTTTTAATAAAGTAACTGGAATGGGGACTTCTTATTACACTATACAAGTGACTGCACAGAATCTGCAATGTGTATTACAAACAAAATAGAGGGATAGGAGTCCATGATCATGCCAGCCAGTAAATTCACATAATCAGGGGGTGGGCTGTGTCATACTACACTCACCGGCATGCAGCTGTACCTTTCCGATTATTCCTTCCACCAAGCCCAGACAGATGGGATTCCAAGCCAGGAGCAGGTCAGTGGCTGCAAGGAGGGCAACAATGTTATATATATACTGAGAATAAGACACATCACTCATATATTCTGCATTCACATTACAAACAGGCAAAAGTTCATTACTGTTTTCTGATATGAGCTGTTATAATCTGGTCAATAGGATGGCTTTAAGAGGTATATGGACCCTGCGTCACCCACGGGGAGGTATATGGACCCTGCGTCACCCACGGGGAGGTATATGGACCCTGCGTCACCCACGGGGAGGTATATGGACCCTGCGTCACCCACGGGGAGGTATATGGACCCTGCGTCACCCACGGGGAGGTATATGGACCCTGCGTCACCGATGGGAGGTGTGCTACACGCTACATACCCGAGGCCCACCTTTGCACCAGTCCATGATGCAACCACTAGGGGTGGTAGAAAGTTGATAGGACATGGCCACGCAAATATCTGTGATGAGCCCTAAATACGGAGGCGCACTTTATGCCACAACATGATATGGCTACTGTACAGAGCCTGGGTGACAGCCCTTCCTATACAAAGATGTAGTTTCTAAATAGAAGATCTACGTTCTCTTTTCCAGTCTCTGGTGCAGAACAGATCAAACAAGATTCATCTATATCACAATGGATTACACACTGCAGCCCAGGGTCCCCACTCTTGCTGTCTCTGGAGTCCGATTACCATTCTCTTCATTATATTCCTACACCAGATGTAATGCGATGAGAGGAGTTGGAGCGTGACCGAGTAGTGAGCACACCTTCTCTAATATTCCCCAGGGAGGCAGAAACTTGCATACCTTCCTGTATTCAAACTGGTGTCCTATAGATACAAGGAAAAACACACCACATAGGAGGGACAGTATAGAGGCATGCACACAACACAAGGGCGACAATACAAACACATGAGGCGCACACACTACACAGGAGGGACAGTACAGAGCTACGCACACCACACGGGAGGGACAGTACAGAGCTACGCACACCACACGGGAGGGACGGTACAGAGCTACGCACACCACACGGGAGGGACGGTACAGAGCTACGCACACCACACGGGAGGGACGGTACAGAGCTACGCACACCACACGGGAGGGACGGTACAGAGCTACGCACACCACACGGGAGGGACGGTACAGAGCTACGCACACCACACGGAGGGACAGTACAGAGCTACGCACACCACACGGGAGGGACAGTACAGAGCTACGCACATCACACGGGAGGGACGGTACAGAGCTACGCACACCACACGGGAAGGAAGGTACAGAGCTACGCACACCACACGGGAGGGACGGTACAGAGCTACGCACACCACACGGGAGGGACGGTACAGAGCTACGCACACCACACGGGAGGGACGGTACAGAGCTACGCACATCACACGGGAGGGACGGTACAGAGCTACGCACACCACACGGGGAGGGACGGTACAGAGCTACGCACACCACACGGGAGGGACGGTACAGGGCTACGCACACCACACGGGAGGGACGGTACAGGGCTACGCACACCACACGGGAGGGACGGTACAGGGCTACGCACACCACACGGGAGGGACGGTACAGGGCTACGCACACCACACGGGAGGGACAGTACAGAGCTACGCACATCACAAGGGAGGGACGGTACAGAGCTACGCACACCACACGGGAGGGACGGTACAGAGCTACGCACACCACACGGGAGGGACGGTACAGAGCTACGCACATCACACGGGAGGGACGGTACAGAGCTACGCACACCACACGGGAGGGACGGTACAGAGCTACGCACACCACACGGGAGGGACGGTACAGAGCTACGCACACCACACGGGAGGGACGGTACAGAGCTACGCACACCACACGGGAGGGACGGTACAGAGCTACGCACACCACACGGGAGGGACGGTACAGAGCTACGCACACCACACGGGAGGGACAGTACAGAGCTACGCGCATCACACGGGAGGGACAGTACAGAGCTACGCACACCACACGGGAGGGACAGTACAGAGCTACGCACATCACACGGGAGGGACAGTACAGAGCTACGCACACCACACGGGAGGGACAGTACAGAGCTACGCACACCACACGGGAGGGACAGTACAGAGCTACGCACACCACACGGGAGGGACGGTACAGAGCTACGCACACCACACGGGAGGGACGGTACAGAGCTACGCACATCACACGGGAGGGACAGTACAGAGCTACGCACACCACACGGGAGGGACGGTACAGAGCTACGCACACCACACGGGAGGGACGGTACAGAGCTACGCACACCACACGGGAGGGACAGTACAGAGCTACGCACACCACACACGGGCGGGAGGGACAGTACAGAGCTACGCACACCACACGGGAGGGACAGTACAGAGCTACGCACACCACACGGGAGGGACAGTACAGAGCTACGCACACCACACGGGAGGGACAGTACAGAGCTACGCACACCACACGGGAGGGACAGTACAGAGCTACGCACATCACACAGGGGGACAGTACAAAGATACACACCACTGGGGGGCTACAATACAGAGCCAGGCACACCACACAGGAGGGACAGTACAGGGACAGGCACACCATGCGTAAGGACAATACAGAGACAACGCACACCAATGGGGGAGGATAGTATAGGTGGCACAGAATCGAGAAATGTTGAGGGGGGGAAATAAAGAGAGAGAGAGAGATGGGGGGGTGACAGATAGAGAGGGGGTGTGCACAGAAGATGACGATGAGGAGGAACATGGTGGTGGTGGGGAGGGGGATAAAGATTTGGCAGGGGTAACAGTCACATTGGGGGGCTTTGAGAAAGACACATAGAAGGAGATAGAGAGGTGTAAGCCCTGGTTCACACTGAATGTGACTTTGAAATCACACTTCTTCACAGATATCTATGCAAGTCAGACATGAAATCGCCATGAATAGTGCAGGGACCTTTTTTCAAAATCAGTGCAGCACCGCAAAGTCAGAGTCACGCCGATTTGGACGGTTCCATAGGCACAAATAGGAAGCGACTTGTCATGCAATTTGGAGGAGCTCACAGTCCATGACAAGTCGCACCGGTGTGATCCAGGGCTAAGTGTGCACTAGGATATTCCTCGGGCATCTGATATATACAATATGACACACAAGCTGAGGGAGGGGGGTGGAGGATGCTAGGAGTACATCATAACAAAATGATTACAGTAAATCGTGAACCCCCCCACCACAGTACAATATTTATACCGCATGAAAGATATTTCCACATTCCTCCTCTGTACATACTGCATTGTATATGTAAAGGACAGATCTGCTTACAGTGGATGGCTCCAGCCCACATCTGCACTCATACGAGGTCACTGCCATCTTCCAGCAATCAATGTATATATGTACCATTAGTGTTCTGTATAATGGAGCCATGTTTACATACAATGAAAAAAGATCATCATCAACATATGACATCCACAGGACGGTGACCCCTCACCCTTCCCTATTCTCTGGGTACACATGAGGTGACACATCATTAATAAGGAAAGGTCTGAAGTATCACAGACCTGGCAGAAGGCTGCCCTGAATAATTGAAGCTCACTCCAGCAGGCCATGTAAACACGGCTCCAGGATGAGCGGATAAAGAGCGGCATGCTGGGAGACGGAGAATACTCCGAATACCAAACATGACATCTCCCGCCTGGGGGGATCTAAAGCCAGCAATCACACCCAGGCAAGCCTTGATGACTAGCTGGTCGGGGCCCGGATCCAAGGAAAACCTGACAGATCAGTGTGACCCAGAAGGGTGGAACTACAATCCATTCTATGCCTGAACTGAACATGATCCGCATGGAAAAAGGGGGGGGGTTAGAGAGTCATCATCAATCTTGTATCAATGGTGGGGGTATCGGAGGGTTAATGAGTCTAGAAACCTCCTGTATTGAGAAAGAGGAATTCTCTCTACAGGAACGGCTCAGTAAGTTCCCAAACAAAACTAAAAACTCATTTCTGAGAAATGCCACAAAACAGAAATAGTTGTGATGGGTGTGACTTCCTGACACCAGGAGTACCCCAAGTATCAGCACACTGACCACACAGCACTACTACCCGACACCAGGAGCACCCCAAGTATCAGCACACTGACCACACAGCACTACTACCCGACACCAGGAGCACCCCAAGTATCAGCACACTGACCACACAGCACTACTACCCGACACCAGGAGCACCCCAAGTATCAGCACACTGACCACACAGCACTACTACCCGACACCAGGAGCACCCCAAGTATCAGCACACACTGACCACACAGCACTACTACCCGACACCAGGAGCACCCCAAGTATCAGCACACTGACCACACAGCACTACTACCCGACACCAGGAGCACCCCAAGTATCAGCCACTGACCACACAGCACTACTACCCGACACCAGGAGCACCCCAAGTATCAGCACACTGACCACACAGCACTACTACCCGACACCAGGAGCACCCCAAGTATCAACACACACTGACCACACAGCACTACTACCCGACACCCAGGAGCACCCCAAGTATCAGCACACTGACCACACAGCACTACTACCCGACACCAGGAGCACCCCAAGTATCAGCACACTGACCACACAGCACTACTACCCGACACCAGGAGCACCCCAAGTATCAGCACACTGACCACACAGCACTACTACCCGACACCAGGAGCACCCCAAGTATCAGCACACTGACCACACAGCACTACTACCCGACACCAGGAGCACCCCAAGTATCAGCACACTGACCACACAGCACTACTACCCCGACACCAGGAGCACCCCAAGTATCAGCACACTGACCACACAGCACTACTACCCGACACCAGGAGCACCCCAAGTATCAGCAGCACACTGACCACACAGCACTACTACCCGACACAGGAGCACCCCAAGTATCAGCACACTGACCACACAGCACTACTACCCGACACCAGGAGCACCCCAAGTATCAGCACACTGACCACACAGCACTACTACTACACCAGGAGCACCCCAAGTATCAGCAGACTGACCACACAGCACTACTA